CAGCGCAGCCCGCGCCTCAGCCCCACGTGTGGCGGCGGAGCGGGGAAGTTGCCGGCGGCCGGCGCTGCGGACCCTGCTCCTCTCCCGCCGCTGCCCGGCCCTTCCCGTCCCTCGGGAGCACGCAACTCCAAGTAAGGGCGCGCGACGGCCCCGCTCCCGCCCGCTGTCCCGGGAGAGGCCGGCGGGTGCGGGAGGCGCTGGCGAGGGGCGGCGGGAGCGCTGTGACGGGGCACGGGGCGAGCCGCGGCGTCCCGGGAGCCGCGGGCAGCGGGATCGGCTCCCGGGCGGGACAACTCCTGCGGACTTGGGCTCCCAGCGCTCCGTCCCGCGGGCGGGGTGCCGCCGATGAGCCCGGAAAGTTTGGGAAGGCGGAGGGCGGGCGGGGAGCCGGGAGCCGGCCGGGGGCGGCGGGAGGGAGCGCCGCCGGGCCGGCGGGCAGCCCCCGGTGAGCTCCGCTGAGAGGCTGGCGAGCAAAATAGCTGCTCCCAAGACTCGCGGAAGACTTTCGGGGTTTGCGTGTTGTTGCTTTTTCTTTTTTAAAAATCTACTTAATTTCGATCCCCTATCGCGGGTACAGTTGTGCCAGAAAACGACCGAGACCTGTGTTTAAGCAGCCTGTTGGAAAAAAAAAAAAAAAAAAGAAAAATCTCAGGAAAGCATTAAAGGTGACCCAGGAAAGAAAGAAAGAAAACAATCTGTTCTGAATGTAAAAACGTGGGGTTCGGCTCTTTTTTAAAGCACCGTGCCCTCATTTGTGCGTGTTTTGTCCCTGTCATGAGCTGTCATGAGTTCGCTGCAGAGTTTTGTGGTTCTCCTTATTGTTGATTACCTTAAAATTTTTTTTGCTGTGTTTCTAAACCGATTGTAGTTCAATAGTTTCTCTTATTTTTCGACTGTTTTAAATGCTGTCTTGTCAGCGTAGTTTCTGTTCCGTGGTGTCTATCCTGCCTGAAATTTGTATGATATTTTTATCGGTCTGTGGGGTGGTGCCACCCTGGGTCGAACCTCTGGGGGTTTCCGTGTTTCTCTCAGTTTTGAAAATTTGATTGTCAGTTATTTTTAGCTTCGTTCAGAATTTCCTCCTTGAAATGAACTAGAAGTCTTACAGGAATTCCCCTATGCCCTGTTGAAAAAAAGTGAAATGAGTTTCTGTTGGTACATTTTTAATAACTTTTTGCTCTCCCTCGCTCTCTTAATTGCCTTTTAGTAGCCTATTTATAACATACAGACCTCCTAAGATGAAGCTAAGAAGAAAACTATTCTCAGCCTTTGTTGATTTCACTGATTCTTGTCAGATAAACGAACTGCTCCTTGCACAGCAATTTTAGCTGCTGGTTTCCCTAATGCTTTGTGGGAAACGTGGAAGGGACATCTACCAACAGGGATTTCTGGTGAAGCTATCAAATACTGTCCAATATTTTGGGAGAACTACCTGTTTCTTTAGTGCATTTTCCAGCCTGGACTTGCATAGGTATCCATGCTGCTCCTCGAGAGGGTTTTGGCAGAGCTGTTGGCCACAAATGCAGGGCAGCACAGACAGACTTAGAGAGATAAAGACAGCTGATGTGCAGAGCTGGGCAGCTCCAGATGCTGCCGGGGAGGGTGGACAGTGGAAAGCCCAGGGAGTCCTGAGCACACATTACACCTTTTTGGGATATGATCGGTGTTCACAGTCTGATAGGACTGGTTTGTGTTGAAACCAGTGAACATCAAATGTTCAGTAGTGACTGAACCTCCTATCTGTGGAGCACCATCTGAGCTTTGTAGCTACCCCAGAGCGTGGGGTGGAAATGGGCCTGTGTGAGGTAACAACCCTCAGTAATGCTCCCTGGCTGATCACTGGGTCATGCTGCTTGTTTGGAGAGGGGGCTGGGTGCACTAGCTGTGAGAGAGTGGACTGTGTGCTCACTTGTGCTCACTAGATCTGTATGCTAGCAAAATAATTGCAATATTTTAAAAAAATCTAATAATGTTTTTCTGTGCATTAAATAAACACAGAAATGCTCTTGCACATATATATAAGAGATACATACTGATTAGGTGATACAATCTACCTCCCTGGATGGTAGATGTCTTTGATGATGGCAATGTGTAATGTAATGCAGTTTCCTTGTTTGTTTTCACAAACTTTCCTTCTCCATCGTCTTTCTCCCTTTCCTGTTACTTTGAACACCAACAAGGCTTGTCCCATTGGTGGTGTTCCACAAGAAGCAGTGGTGGGGAGAAGCTGAACGAACTCCTGCATGAAGTCACAGGAGATGGGTCCTGGTTCAGCAGGCAGCACTGCTGTCATGGGGGCTGTGCTTAGAGAGATACGCTGATCTTTTGCAGTGCTGTTGGGGTTTGAGGGAACTAACCACGAATTCTCTCTGCTGAACTGGGCTGGGCTTTGCTTTTACTGCTACAGGTGTGCTTCAGCTGCTCCCAAAGCCATCTGAGCCCTTTGAGAATGGATCTGGCATCTCACTCAGGTCCAGGTGCCTCAGAATAAAATTATCTCTGTCTCCATACTAATCTCTCCATCATGAACTGCAAGAAGCATCCCTGGGTGGATTGACATCCATGACATGCAGTAGCAATTTCTGCTGCATGCTGATATAGATTTCTCTAGTTTTTGATTCATTATGAAAATGCTTGGAGAAATTGTCTCTCAAAGAGATCTTGCCCGTTGTCTTCTCTGGAGATGCCCAAGGCTGATGGCTTTACAGGGCCACCAGAACAGTGGCAGGGCTGTAAGTCCACAAGTTCTGTAACCAGGGGAGAATGTTCTTCAGAGGGCGAAAGATCCTGAGGTGTCCATGATGCCATTTTGGGTTGCTTCTTTTTTGGTTTGTTTTGGTTTTTTGTTGGTTTTCAAATTTTTTAAAAATTATAGCAGTAACAGCTTCCCATACAGCATATGGAAGTCCTGCATACAGCTGAGGAGTTAACTCTTTCCCATAATGAACAGAAAGGAAGGTATGTTGGCAGATGTGGTGTGTGTGTGAGGATTTGCTGAGCTCTTAATCCTGTTTGTGGCTGATAGGCCATGCAAATATGGAAGGGCATCTCTTTCAGTATATAAAGGTCTTTACTGCTCACCACCTTAGGGAAATGTGCTGTTAAAATGCTGTAATTGTTTTATCACTAGTTACAGGCCATGAAATTGTAGGTGTAAAATCCTGCAACAGTGCAGACCGCCTACCACAACCCTTTTTTTTTCTTTTTTTTTCTCTGTTTGCTTTTTTGGGTTTTTTGAGAGAGATCTTTACTTGTTAAGACAAACCATAAAATAATTACTGTAGGTAATAGAGGAGCCAGGCTCTGTAGAATGAATGGGGGAAGCAGCCAGAGATGAGATAGCTGTGAGCCCTTTGAGCACATGTGTATCTTGAGGGGATGAGAATGTGTGATAATATTCTCTCTGTCTTTTGCCCTGTCACTAGTTTAGTTTCAGGATGGGGTTTTTTCAGTCTTCTTTATCCTTCTTTGTTGTATTGTACACCCATTTTAGATGCAAAGAAGTTAGTCACTCTTACTTTCTTAAAAGTGTGAGCTTTTGGGTGTCTGTATACCTAGAAGTTTTGGACCACCGTTGTCATTAGAAATGTTGTAGAATTTCTCAAAAGGTAGGGCATACCCCAATCAAATTACTTTGCATTAAAGTTCTGAAACTACAAGCATGATTTTAAGTATATAAGTGATTGTCAGAGGAGTTATATTTTGAGTCCAGCAGTATGCTGGTCAAAACTTCATGTAAATGAAATAGTGCAGTGAACTTTCCACTGCAGTTTTCGGTGAGTGTAGGAAACACCATTTTTTGCAATTCATGTGTGCTACATAAGTAGCTACTTCATTGACGGGGGCTGCATTCTTGAGGCTGGAGAAGTTACATTGTGTAGTTTTGTGGTGAGATTTTTAGGGGATAAAAAGCTGCTAAGTACCTGCCTGCCTTCCTGTTTGCTCATAGCCTGTATTAAAGGCACGTGCCTACGATAGAGACCTTACCTCCACCTTAACCGAGGTTCGGTGGGAGGTGTTGATAAACCCAGAAATTTGGGCTGGATTTGTAGGTGGAAGATGGAGGGTAAGAGATTTGTGACACTGACTTTTGCAGCATGCACAGCACTTGACTGTTAGGTTTGTCTTGAGTGCAGGTTGCTGACAGAGCCACGCTCTTGTTTTCCTCTGTCTGTTAGGGCTGCTTCTGTGACCATAGTGCAGTCTCTGACTTATAAAAATGAGAGACAATAATATGGAAATTCAGGGAAAATGTCAGTCTTGAGTGTTTGGTGTTTTTTTTTTTTTTTTTCTTTAAATAGGTAGTAACAATAATGCTGGGCTTTTCCCAGTCCTCTGCAGGTGTCTGTGGGCCTGAAGATAAAGGGACGTAGCAGAGGAGTCTGACTGCACGCAGAGTGGGTGGGTTCTGATCTGCTCAGGTGGGTATCGACTTTCTGTGTTACGGCAGAGGGTCAGAAGAGACAGGTTTACAAGGTTTTGTGAAACAGCCTGATGTGTGGAAGCAGGAATGCTGAAACTCATTATTGCACTTACCAAAGCCTGTGAACCAGGCTAGAATGTGAACTCGTGACTGGTGCCCTAAGCCTTAGTGCCAGCTAACCTCTTTTCTGATCCCTTTCATGATTTTTATTTTATCTTGTTTGGATTGCACATGTTTTCCATTAGACTTTTTCTCTTGGTCCTTTTATTTGCACTGGTATTTTTCTTTCCTATTTACTCCAGCTGTTCTTTGACAGTTTCTCTGAATTTTAATTGCATTGTAAGATTTTTCTCCTTTGCATGACCTATGTTGTTTACATTTATTCTTCCTTTTTTTCATTATTCCTTCTTACATTTTTCTTCCTTTAACTCTTATCCTTAGAGGAACCGGTTTTACTCTTGGAGACCAGCCCTTTCTTATTGATTGCCAGCTGCTTTTATTGAAACTAATTTACATTCTCTGCTCTTATTGTGCTAGACAGAGGACTAGTGATTTTGAGTAAAGCTCTTTCCCGAAAGGCTTTGCTCAGAAATTGTCTCTGTATTTCACAAAAAGAGTGGAAAATAAAGAGCAACATCAGGGCAAAAGCTGCTTCTGCCTAAACCAATGTGTTTGTGCCTTTGTCACATGAAGAGTAGAAATGTGGCCTGCCCTGCTGCAGGCACAAATGACTTTTTGAGGCTGAAATGTGCTGGTGTGGTGAGGGGGAGTGCAGAATGATGTGGCCTTATGTTTACTTACATGGGCACCCCTTAGACCCTGGCAGTAACAAACCCAGTCCATTTTGATTGTGACTGAGTTCTGCCTTGGTACTGCTGTGATTTTTTTTTTTTCCCATAAACTGATCTAAAAAAAATTTAATAAGATTAAATATGCACTACAGTTAAAGAGTTGAAGAGCTATGTTTGCATGATGGTAAACTTGGGGAAAAATAGTTAAATGAGAGGAGATGGCTTGGTAGGCTTTAACACTCAAAGTACCATCTGCCTTCAGATAGCCTCATTACAGACCCTTCTCACAAGAACCTTTCTCAAGCCTTATTAGTTGCTAAGCATAAAGCCCTTGTGTTCAGGTCATGTTGATTTTGGGCTTTATGTCATGCTAGAGGTATGGATAATCAGGGTTTGGATGTACCAGACCTCAGGGTGTGCATCCCATTTCTTTCTCAGACTGCTTTTGGTTTATAAATTGGTCTCACTGCTTTTTCACCCAGTGTCAGTTGGTTTGACACCTTGGCTTTGTTTGTATATTTGGAAAGGAGACTGTGGTACAGTGCTTAGTGTCAGGTCCAGAGGGGGAGGTGTGTTACATAAATTTGTTACTGTTACAATTGTTAAATTCACTGTAGTGCTCTGCCTCTCAAATGCTTGTTCTTAGCATGGCTGCTTACTGGTAATTATATGTCAGTAGCATCATTGCATCAGGACAGATCTTTTACTTTGGCATCCAGCTAGAAGCATAACAAAAGGAAAGAAGGTGCAGGATGGATTTTTTAGTTATAAAAGTGCACCCTCAAACACAGATTAGGTACATGGCTGCCATGATACAAATAAGATAAGAGATCCCAGAGCCTTTTATTAAACTTACTGGTGCCAGTATTAAATATGGCTCTGAGCCTGCAGTCATGCCACAAAAAGACTCAGGAAGTTTATCTGTGGTTAGTTGTCTTTGCAAAGTCAGGTCTGCTTAGAAACCTGTGCAGTTACAGTGCTGGGTCTGGCCATCAACTCAACCTTCACAGCCTGCTTTGAATGGAAAAACATACAGTTAAACTCTAGCATAATTTAGGACAAAAGCTGCAGGATAAATGTGTCTGAAGTGGCTTGAGAGGTTTAGGTGTTAATGCTGCACAGCATCAGAAAAACTTGAGTTTTCTGAATTCATACCTGTTACAGGAGAGGCTTGTATTTATAGTGTTATAACCTGTGAAGCACGTTTGCAGGCTTGGAGTCCTAGAGTTACTTGTGATGAAGTACTTCAGCATAGAGGAGAAGGCTGCATGACAACTTTTTCCCTTGATGTTAGGGTTTGATACCATTACTCAAAAGCCTTGATGCTGTTTCTTGCTGCTGAATTATTATTTCAGTCTGCAGAGCAAACAGTTTCCCTCCATTGTTTAAGTCTTTCCCGCAGTTGTAAGAGAAATACTTAAGAGTACAGGAAACGGTGTCTGTAAAAGTAAGATTCGATCTGAAATCTGATTGTCTGAACAATTGCTAAGTCTTTTACACTTCTGAAAGTTGAAGATGACTTAGTTCTTTCTGTTGATGATTTACTCAGTATGTTAAACTCATTGTACAGTAATCTCCATCAAACACACTTTTGCTTTTCTTTTAAATTGCATTATGAATTGAGGAAAAGAAGCAGAAATATTTGTTTACAGTATAATTTTATTGTTTTTTCCCCATGTCTTCCAGCTATAGCAGGGCCTTCCTGAGTTGGGAGAAAGTGAAACCTTCTGTTCTGTGTCTCAACAGAGCAAAATGCAGAAGCCAATAGTAGAAGTAGGAGTGAGAATCCATTTGACTTTTTAAATTCTGGCCATTTTTAATAACAGGATGGGTTATTGCTATTGAATATGATGTATTAAAAAAAAAAAAAGGAATTAAAAAAAATTACTTTACTATGTGCTTAAGGAGGACCAGGGGGAGTTTTCAAGCACCCCAAAAGAGCTGTAGGAATAAATCTTTGGAGCAAATTCAGTAACAAGTAGAAATATTTGTGTTGGTTTGTGCATCTTAGCATGGATTTCCTCCTGAACTAATCACACCCCTCCTAACACACACACACAGTGTAGCTATACAGTGCCTTGCAGCCTCACCTGCACTTTTCTGCACACCCTTCCAAGTAATTAGACAGGAGCAGGATCTTCTGTGTAAGCCTTTGAGCTTTGTTATTTCTGTGCTCGGTGTAAAATGCAGTGCTGAGAGAATGGCCTTCTTTGACTTAGGCACAGCACCTGGAGCTGCTTTGCATCTGATCCCCTCTGAACAGGAGTGAGGAGGATTGGGTCTGCCTGTGGTGTAGTACCCTGTCATACCCCAGTCTAGTTCTGGTAAATCAAAACTGTTGACAGCTGGCTTAGCTGGTTTTTTCATGTTCTCTTTGGAACAAGATGATCTTTAAGGTCCCTTCCAAAGCAAACCATCCTCTGTATATGTTCCTGAAATGCCCAAATGCCAGTGGGAGGTTAGTCTCAGCTGTCCTTTGTGACTGAAAGAAGTTCTGTGTGGTTTGGGGAGGGATGTGATTTCTTTGCGGTGGGCTTTTTAAATTTTTTGTTCTGTTGTGTTTTGGTTTTTAATTTGGTTGTTTTGAGGTGTTCTGGAAAGAAAGTACCTGTGCAATTGCTGCTTAATATTTAACGTCTGGATATGTTTTGGCAAAAATTGTTTTGTTTTCTTTTTTTCCAATGCCTCACAGAAAAGTGAAAAAAGATCCCCTGGCCCCTAAAGCTTTTCTGCTTAATGCACTTCCTTGACCTTTTCAAGTACTTTGTGCTTTTGCAAGGATATAAACCTGGATATTTTATATATTCTGTGTTGCTGAACTAACTGGAAAATTTGGGGGTTTGGGAGATAGGAACTTTGATGATAAATGCATTTTTCGCTTGTAAAACTTCATCTGTATTCTCTGTGCTGGGCACTCCTGAAGGAGAAATTCAGTGTGAAGAGAGGTCTTGTGACAGTTTTGCCCTTAGCAACCCTTAGAAGCACAGGAGAGGAAGAATTAAAGGAAAGAGCTGCAGTGTGCAAAGTCTGAAGAATTAACATCAGTCCCTTTTTCATACAGTGGAAAGAAAAGAGTTGACGAAGAAGAAGAGATCTTTCCTGTGGTACTGGTAGAGAAGTACAGACGATATCTGATAAGGCCTCACAAGCAGCAGAGGTGTATCACACTGCAGAAGCTTTCTGGGCTGTGATCAGTGCTCTAAAACACTATTTAAGAAACTGTCAACAAAATATGTGTTCAGCTGGTTCATCTGCAAACTTCAAATGTATTTGATAATCCCCATATAGTGCAATTCAGAAGTATTCTTAAGCTTAACCTTATTTTAATTTAAAAAAGGGATCATGGTAGAGGATGCCACATTGCATGTTTGCTGAACAGCATATACTGTCTGGGTAAATTACTGAAAACTTTGCCACGTGGCATTTATTTTCTCCTTTATTTTATGCCAATTTTTTTCTGGGTTTTTAAATTTTTTTTAATTGAAATGAGTGGGTACAAACCTTTTGCTGAATATTTCCACCCATGTTTTTATTCATTGTGTGAAAATAATATGACACTGTTAACAAAAAAAAACAAACAAAAAACACCTCAGGTTGTAGGCATATATTGTAAGATCATTGGCATTTTTTCCTGTTAGAATGATAGTGGGTGCAAAGGTGTGTTTAGCTTGAGGAGGAATATAGTTGCTTTCCATAATAAATGCTATTTATGAAAGTTTATTACAAATTGTCTGCGGGAGTGTGAACATGCAACGATCAGGGTGTATAATGTTTTCTTTGAAACACACCTTTGGTGAACATGTTTTTAACAGTTGCTAATCTGTTTCCTGCCTAGGAAATGAAGGAAGTCAAAGAGAAAAGAAGATTATGGACATATTTGTTATTCAATGCTGTGTTGTTTCTCTGACTTCCATCTCCTGCGCAGTTAGAAACTCTGCAGGAAAGGGATATGTGACTTGTGTTGAAAACTTTCAGATTTCCTGTTTCCCTGGGCATGTAGTTTTCTAGCCGAGCAGGTTAACCTTTACTGCTGAGCTGTATCTCTCCATATTTTAATTTGCCCTGGAAAATTTTTGGTCTCTGCAATTCCTGACCACCCTGGACAGCTGACAGTCTCTTCCTTCCAGTCTGACAATACCAGCAGTGCAGTGGCACCAGCTATGTGCAAGTCCCTTTGAAAATTCTGCTGTCAGTTACATTTCTTGTG